AAAGTTTGACGTATCTCACTGCAAATCTCCCTCTTCACTTGTCATTTCAATTACCTGATCTACGTCAAATATATTTAGAGGTTTAAGATTCTTAGCGCGATATAAAAGACAGCACTGTTAATAACTGAAGGGCTTTTATAGGARCTTGTTCAGGTCTGTGAGTGGATAGGCTGCTGTCGTASGCCAGAGAGTCACAAGTCAGTTAGTCAAATTAGACAGTCATTTGGTCACTCATTTTCTCTGTCAGTCACTCAATCTATTTTGGAGACAACGCCCAGTTAGTTTAGTTGTTTATATGTGTAAAAKTAAAGTTTATATCTTGACTCTGTCCTTTTCACGAATATAGTGGTCAATTATCTATTTCTTGCATTAACTTTAAACATTTTTAATGTCTATTATATAATTTCCCTACCAATTTCAATGATTTACAAGCCTTGTTATGATAACAAACAAAGTATACATATAAGTTTACTGTCATATAATTCCCTCTTCCCTCGATTGTTCTGATAGTTTTGACGAACGTTCAAAATGGAGAGAAACATCCACTAAACTTAGTATTTGATATCATGTAATATGTACTTTATTACTTCATTTTTCCAAATCATATTCGAGTATATCATAATTTAAACACGATTCACTGTGACAATTTTTAATATTTTKCTCGTGTATTCTCTTAATCCAAACACTCACCTGCCAATCTTCTGAAAATCTGTCATTTTTTGTGCCACTCAACTGTTCGCTAGCTTCTGCTTGAGAGAAAGTCTTGATAACAGAAGTGAAGGTGATGTCCTTAAACCGCTTTGGAATCGGAAATCCAGCATTAAGAGATTATGTAAACTCTGGTTTATATTCAAACTAAATGCGATAAAGAACGAGCTAATTCATGTTCTTAGCGTTAGCCAAACAGCACAAGACTGGGATAAGAAAAAAAGTCTCAGAGGAACTAGGRGATGGAAGCCCTTTTATTAAGTCTGAGCCGTAGCGGACCAATGAGTGCCGTTCTTTTCTTGACAAGGGCCTTTGCCCTTCTTTCTGATCTCACAAACTGYTTCCTGTATGCATTACAAAATGATAGAATTAACAAATAAATTCTAAGGGAATTTGACTCACACCATGATCCGTATTTCAGAGGAGCTAGACGGTAGAGATGTAGTGACCTTTCTGCGAATAGACTGTAAACACTTGATCGGATATATCAGGGTAATAAGTAGTTTGCGCAGTGTTTTTTACTTTGCTCTGCGAATAACTTATGAATTCCCAAAACAATAAATCTGGACATCATTTTTATTATAATTTAGAGCAACAAAGAACGAGAAAACGTAATTTTAAGCAAGGCTAGCAAATCTACCGTGGAAGGGCTGAGAAGATTTTGACAAATGAAACTGAGTTATTGAAAGAACCAAAGTGAAGAAGAGGAAGTGGAACTAAAATTTTGAAGAAGAAGAAGAAGAAGAAGAAGAAGAAGAAGAAGAAGAAGAAGAAGAAGAAGAAGAAGAAGAAGAAGAAGAAGAAGAAGAAGAAGAAGAAGAAGAAGAAGAGGACTGAGAGGAAGCTTAATTTGAACGGACGAAGCTGAGAAAAAGACGTAGAAAATCTAAGCGAAGATTACCTAAAAGGTGGTTTTAAACTAATAAGTAGAACAAGAAGAATTGGACAAGTAGACTAAACAAAAGAGGCTATAAACATCGGAGAATTTGACAACTGATCAACCACTTCTTCAGGATCTTAACGAGCTCCATTCCTGCCTCTTCAGGAGTTGGCAAGGACAGTATCAGGAAGTTTACTTTTCAGACATATGACTGATTGTATGTTAATAGGTCACTGATCCAAACCAATCCATCTTTGCAGTAATATGCGGTATAATAGGGTATAATCAGTATTAAAGAAACATGCTATACCACGCAAAATTGAATGCAGCCAAGTGATAACAAAAGCTGGCCTCCCGAYTAAGTCTTCTRTGGAATGTTTATGGATTTGAACCTTACWCTACTGATTTATCTTTATATGGGAAAACACTAAGCAAAGAAAGGATTCTACTTCTGAGTGATGATATCAACAAGATAACGTCTTGAAGTCCAAATTACATTTCGTCAAGGTAATGTATATCTTATAACTAGCTTTTTATCAAAACGTTTCCATGCTTTCCTGGAATATCAAATTTGCAAGTCTTTTCTAATATAATCCAACGATATACTAGAGAATGGACATCATGTTTGAATATATGACAAAAATGCCGAAAGTGTGATTAAAATTCTACCATGAACATTGCACTCATTCTCAAACAATTGCAATCATCGAGAAAAACATATTTATAAAAATGTTGTAAAGGTACTATACATTCAAATTTTTGATCGCATATTAACCAATATGAATATCATTTTTTCCCACGAATGCCGGCACCCAGACTACCTTTTAAACCRTCGAAGGGTTTAAAACAACAAAATTTGAAATCTCTTTAAAACTTTGTCGAGGTTATAATACAAAAGATCGTCAGGGAATACAACCAGGTTATTGACTTCAGTTGGTCGGGCTGATGAATGTATCTTAATTTACAAAGCTTATTAGTTGGAAGTTTGACTGTACAATTTGTGGACATGTGTATGTTGTAGATGATGGCATATTTTGCATTTATGCGTACAGAATGCGACTTAGGGCACACAGGATGACTGGACATTATGCATTAAAGAATTACAAGTAAAATCACTGTAGGTTTTTCTCAGGGAAACCATGTCTTAGATAGTGTTGAAGATCTAGGTTGATACCAAGACTTTTCAGGGGAAGGTACTGATTCTCATCGAATTCTGGGAGCCACTTAACATTCCATCTTATCAAATTTGTCGCGTTCGATTTCATTTTCAGTGKCGTTAGAAGTGTTTGTTTTAACTAAGTTAATTATATTTTAACTTTGAATAGGTACCTGACCTCTGTTGGAACTTATCTAGATTTTATTACTACAAAATGACGCTCTCTTTTGCTCGTGAAACAGCCTTTCACTCGATTTGCATGTAAGTCAGATTTCAAGGACGTTTGAAAAGTCAATCTCAAGGATTTGTCGCTTTTTCGGGTTGGAAAAAGATGTCCATGCAATGGGACTGGGATCGTCACAAGAAAATAACAGAAAATTAATAATCACGAGTATTAAGTTTGCAGCAAAGTTTAAGGGTTTTTATCTAGTATGTTTCTGTGGCTAAACTTTGRCTGGGATTGAAACTGGGAGGACAAACTCCGAAGAAGTACGCTCTTCAGTGCGATGCCGATAGAATAAATAGGTCTACTCGACTACATGATCCATTATTGTATAAACCTCTTTAGAATGTCACTGTCTCAGTTATTGAAAATGTTTATGTATGTTTTTTATTCCAACAATAGTGGTGAAAGGCATGTTTCACTATATGTAGTATGTAATGAATCTTTTGATCAATTTCATGTATCAATCAATTGATCCTAACACTGACTAACTATTATGTAATATGTTGTTGTTATAATCTCAGTTTCAATTTTTTTCTTAAAATGTTTTGCTGTTGATGTTTGCAATTTAGTTTTCAGCGCACATTGGGTATGATTTTTACCAAGTTTAATTCTGTTTTCATTCAAAAAGTACTTCTGAATCACAAACTACCGATCTCAAAATCCTTGTTGATCTCTTTGATAACCAAGCAAAGTTCATGTTTTTTTGTACTATATATCTTCCAGAACGCTTTCTTTGATGCTGAATCTTTGGCAGTGTGTGCCATGTGTTCACTGAAGAAGAGAAATTACAATGCAACTTGTCTATCAGTCGTTTGGGAGTTTACGTTAATGAGCGCGAAAGGAAAATTCCATCGGCTGAGATCTATTCGTAATTACAAAATACTTATAGAAAAAAAGCAAAAACTTTTGCGAGCTAAACTTATGAGCGCCTTGCATTTCCAACTTCCACAATGTAAGAGTTTCTCTTTACAAGTCAAACCTCGCACTCAAGAGAAATAGGAGACAAAAAGTCTTGATGCAAACCACACTTGAGGAAAAAGTTGGTAAAGAAAAAGTATTTTTTTACCTTAGCGCGCGTTCATTCCTTGTGAGTTTTTCGTCTTTCATGTAATCAATGAAACGACACATACAACTTGTTGCGAAGCCAAACTGCCCTGGGACGTGTTTTCAAGCGTGGTTTAACGTCAGTTCTACGTTAGTTCTACATTGCATTTACGGATATCTTTGAAATAAATGAAATCAAAGCTCAGTAGAATGTAGACTTTCGTGCTTAAAATTTTGCCTAATTGTTTGTTCAAAAGAATGCCGTTTTGGCATCAGAGAATCACAATATCATTTTTATACGCAGTTTGTTTAATCAACCATGTCAAGGTGGTGTCTATATTACGAAGTTCTTTCTTAGAATTAGAGACTCTTTCCTATATCCCAAACAAAAACTGAGTGTTAGTGCTATTTAGATTCCTCAGATCTGACTGACTTTTCGAAAATGGGCTTCGACTYCGATCAATTTAGTATACTTTTGAAGTGCTGCCATATTGCAAATGGGAAATAGTATAGGCAATGCGTTTTTAGATGTTTCAATTTTTCTAAATTAAAAGTACAAAATCCTGCATTTTTATTCTAGTGATATCTAAAGATTAAAAAAATGTGCTTTCATCGATGTAAAGTACAATAATATGAAAGGTTTTTTGAGAATCACTACCAGAAAATGCGTAGATAAACCGACGCATTTGAGCTTCAATGCGCCGTGGTTCATTCTATTGTCTATCATTTTATTTCAAAATTTGGAACTCATTTATCGTTCCCCAATTTTTTTTTACTTCTGATTTCCTCAAGTCAGTGCTCCATACCAGATGTTGTTATATTTATTTCATGAATGTATCACGCATAGATCAAAGGTATTAACCATTGGTTTACTGGACATGCATGATTTATGACAATCAATTTAGCGATAGATGTCGAGGACAAATCACACAGCTTTAAATGACACGACTAGCCATCTCGTTAAGCTACCAACATCTGAAAAATGCAGCCTCGTAATCTTTTGATTAATTTTTAATCCTTATACTAGTTAACTGTTTACCAAATCGAGGGATGTTAAGCCAGAAGACATGCACACTCGCAAAGCTGGTCTCTTTTCGCGTTTTCCAATAAACATTATCTGCACAAAAAGAAAACTACAGTGTGTTTATATTCTATTTGAAGAATACAACACTGTTTTTGTAMATYTTGCGAGGGAGGGGTTATTTTAACGTTATCCGACTTAACTGAGCCAATAGGCATGTATAAACCTCTTTGTATTATCCTTTGAATTAGTAACCACGTTTCCGCCATGGACGAACGATGAGCCCTCTATGATACTTAACTAGTCGCAACACTAAGCCATGCCCCGCCTAGTCGATTTTACTTTAGTGGAACGGCTAGTGTAAATCCAAATACAAACCACATCGATGAGGACAGTGTATCAGGCTGTCACGAGCGAATGACATGCCGTTTCAAAGGCTATTTGACTTACTAATAGCCCAATTTTATACTCGCTTTGCTGCGATTAGTGCAGCGCGTTTGAAAACAGCCACCTCCCGTCAMTTGGCAAATAAATCATTACCTATTAATATYTCTAAAGCTCAACTCTCTTAAAGACTCATTGTCAGTGCGCGTCTACTGTAGTTGAGACATCGAGAAGCGTTCTATTGTTTTTAAGGTGAGTTCTTGCTTGAAATTGTAGGGTCAACGCACTTGATGACCCCATTGTAGTGAAACAGTATAAGTAGCCTTAAACGCTTCCATGTCTTTAGTAATTAACCAGGAACCTATCTTAATTTAGTGGTTCGTCTCCACTTCCAGAACCCTTTGAAAAAAAGACTGAATTTTAAGCCTCCAAACAACCATGCGCAGAAAAATAACTGTATTTGGCTGTGACTTGCCACAAAATTAAAACCGCAAATCGCTGCACATAAAACGAAAACGTCGAAAATAATCTTTCTCGAATGATAAATGAGTTTTTTCTTATCAGTGGTTATTTYAAAAATGAAACATATCTTCTTACAAAGCAACAAGTCTTAGTTGTGTGCATTTTTTGCCGTAGAAAACTGTGTAAAACACGTCAGAAAAGTTAGCAAATGTTTCCTTGGTAAACTTATTTTTCATCACGTAAAGCTACGTTGATAAGATGTCTAGAGAATGYATTTCAACTCAACCCGGAGGGCAACTTTGACAGGGATTGATGCGTGAGTTTTTCGATTTTCTCATGTCTGCTTTAAGTTAGTACACGCTGAAAGCACAACAACAAAGAGCGCRAACTTAAAGTTTAGTTTGATAAGTCAGGTTTTTCAACAAATAATTCAGATGCAAAAAGCGCTCTTGTCGAACAATTCCAGGAGTGCCTTGACAATAAGAGCTTTAAGAAATAGCGAAAACAAATGCACAAAATGATGCAATGAGTTTAYGCAAGCAGAAAATTCAAATAACATGTTGGGTCTTACTGCTATATATGTTTATATCTCAGTTAGAGAAGTATTTCTAGATCAATAAGCTTTATCGCTCCAAGGTGACGTCGTCCGCCATATTGGCTGTTCAGACAAGATTGCTTTGTCACAGTTGTCATTGATCGGTMTTAGAGTAAACTACTTGATGTATTGTCTAACTTAACACAAAATCWTCTTTATACAACATTCCTTCTTATAGTCACTAGAATTTAGAATAATACTTTGGATAATAGCTTATTGAAAGCTTATAAACTCTCCTGACAASAATCAAACTTGTGGATCTTCCAGAATCATGTTAAAAACATGACTGACCACTACGARGAAGRCCRAACAAGGCGAGCTTTGGTGGTTYTATAGTAGAATAWATGAGCTAAACTCTAGCTGGAGAATTTCARAAAATGCTTTTATTACATGCTTTYTGCATAATTTTTKCACYGAGTTGTTTAATAATATAATACTTCAAAGCCCGTCAATCCATTCTGAACAAAGAATCTCTCATACATTATATATCAAGTTGTAACACTTTTTTTGACTCAACAGCATCTTTCTTGCATTGTTATAATTAATAATTGCAATGTCAAGGGATTTTTGGAGCCTTTGTTGATGTAATTGTAATGTCAGGAGAATATAGGAGAAAGCAACCACCTTACCAAAGCTACGATATACTTCGACATCAAAACCGCTCTATCAAAACCTGCACTGTAGCCATGCGCTTATAGTTTTAGCTTTCAAAATGTTCTACAAACAAACTTTTCGTGAGAAAGACTTCTCTGTTTGGTAAACAAAAATCAAAATTCTTTTACCTCTTCCGACATCGCAATCACGAGATCGTAGCATATTCAAGAATTACAGTTGTAAATAATAGCCAAAYACTAGTACAGCACGAATAGAAATAATCGGATACAGTATTATATTGGGGCCATTGTCCTATATCGGTAGGTGAATTTCAAATAGAGCACAAATACTATAAGCTGAAAATTGAGTAAGTTAATGACTTCAATCGTTTTAGGATGATCGAGTGAATAAGATTGAATTCATCGTATGTGATTTGAAGGATTTCGAGTTGCAATCGAATTATGGCTTCCGAGTTAAATCAACTTGACTCAGTCCTTAGAACAGTAGTTCATAGTGCGGTGTTTGAATTAGGGGACCTTTGCAAAGGCTAACGTTTTATAATATATTCCAAACAATCKATAGATCTAGAAAACAATGTTTTAATTCACTTTATTAAGTCTAATTGTATATAAGTTTACCTTAAAATTCCTATATGATATTGCCAAYCTTTGTCAACTCAGCTACGCTCAAATGGAGTTCGTGCTGCAGATAGYGTTACATGTACTGCTCACTATTACTATTTCCACTTTGAAAACTTTTAGTCAATTTGTTATAAAACTGTTTCTAAGGATAAATCAATACTACGATGTCATTAACATCTCTCACAAGACGTTTTCGCATGTGGTATCTACGATAAAGTTCACAGGGAAAACATCCTGTGTTGGACTGATAAACTTACATATTTTAGATTAGTGTCGCGGTATAGCATAGCAGTCATCATGACGCTYACTGGACCAGCATTGTCGTTACTTTTGAAAACTGTTCGCATTATAAGACAACTAAAGTAATTTTTACGCAATTCATTGCACTATAAGTAGCTGCGTTTGAGCTGTGAGTCTGTTTTCACGTGTTTTTCCGTGCGCTTGCGTCACATTTCGTGGACAAGTTGTAGAAGTGCTGAAAGGAGTKTACAATACAGTGATTTATGGATCGCACAAAGCAATTATCATTGATGAACTAAGAATAATACCCTTATCGATTCACTTCATGGTAAGCTAATTTCAGAGAATACCGAGATTAATCTACTTTTCCGTCAGGTTGAATACCATATGTTAACACAGTCTTTTGCGGAAACATCACATAAAACTCTATACAAGAGAACAATTAATGAAATTGTGTTCTTCGTGTATAAAATCCAGTTAATTCAACATACTTTTTAAACGTTTTTTTTTTCTGTGTTTTAATGCTGTGTTAGTTTAGTTAACAAGCTTCGCCACGCCAGACTTTTRCTTCGGAATAAGAAGCGTGTTATTAAATGGGACAGGGCGTGGTTATCGGTCACATAAAGAAATTAATAAAACAAAGTGCTTCAAACGTTTACTGTTTACTTGATATGGATCGCCTTAATTAATACCAAGAAACGCTATCAAGAGCCTCTTCAAGGAGGTCGTTATTAGTAGCCCATCAATCACTGTCGGCACTCTCTTCTATCTACAAAATATCTTGGATAAATATAGGGATCAGTATAAGATCCATCGGTTGTGTACACAAGCATAACAGTTCCGTGACCCAATAGCTACCTTATGTTGTGAATTCATTTGTACAACCCCCTTGTAGTACTAACATCTAGCTCATTATTTGATCTCGCATCGACTAGAATCAACAATCTAGAATTTTGAAGGATTATAGTTAATACCTTATGGTCTATTGTGTAGTGATTCGCTTGAAMGTTCGTCGATAATGCCATGATTAACTCAAAGAAGAACCAGATGCTTCGGTAGTAAATCGTATTTTTGAGGAATATTTGTGTTGATAGTCGAGCATTAGGCGTGTTAGGGTTAGAGTCTCTTTAAATATCAACAATAATCATCGCATTCATTTGAACCAGCTTAACTTAATCATTTCAACACTGAACATCGCTGAACAAATCAGATCTCCATCTGCGAACGTCGAATAGAAATCCACCGTGTACAACAGTCGCTATATGYCCTAAACACGCGTTTTAAACAGATATCACAAACATTGCCAAATAAAATATAAAGGTAGTATCCAAGATTAATTTGAGAAGTGCTTCTTTTAGGGGGAGAGGGGGCGAATATTTAAGGACTATCTGAAGGAGATTTTCAGGGGTATGGGAACTACTTAGGGGGGTAGACTTAGGGATTCAAATATTTCTAGGGCTGTTAAGAGTAGGATTAGTGTCGAAAACGGTCCTTYACAACTCGATGGAGAGCTACAAGGGTAAATTTTCAAATGCTAGTGATTTAAGGAAAGGTAATCTTAACAATACACCTAGCCAAGTCTTATCAAACCGGCAAGGTCTTTGCTGGGTACCAAGGTGTAAGATAAATACAACGACTGCCAAGCCATTTATCACTGTCAGAATAAATAGTATAGATACAGTAATGTTCACGGCTCCCTTGTTAGACGAACTAATAGCTATTGCAGGTGTGTGTGTATGCTACCTCATAATGACGTCATTTTATTGATTGTTCTCCGCAGCGAGTGAGACTGATACTGCATAGTGGGGAAGAGGTTGCTCTGGACGAACGACGCACAAAGGAAAGAAAGCAGTTGTTATAAGAAGAGAAGGATTGCTATTCTTGTCATTGTCCCACGGTTTTATTGATTCAAGATGGCTGCAGAGGCTCGCTCGATGTCATTTACGATTGATAACATYCTGAGGCCTGACAACACTGATCTTGCCGTCGGCGAACAGCCTCACTCGACGTCACGGGCTTTGACGCTTGCTGAACGACTTGCAGGTAAGAAACACAGCGTCAAACAGGTAAAAAGAGAAAGAAAAATAGCCTCTTTAAAAAGATTTGAAGTGGTAATTGAATCGTAAAGAAAGTCTCCATCTAACGCAAACAGGATAGTGGAGATAAGACGAGACATAAGTGATGGAATCCCTGTAATTGCACGCAGAATACTTTTGCGGTCTTTTTCTGAAAGGATACTAAATTGATTTATTGTCGATTATCAGATCAACTGGTTTGGTTAAGTTGTAGGTTTTTTAGCCATGATCGCGAACAACATGTTGATCAAAGCTGTACCAACACACAAAATGATCGAGGACAAGCTGGAACTTKAGTCAGTTCAATAGCAACTGAAATAATAATATTCTTTAGGGAATTATTTGATTTTAACTTGTACAGTTGGCAAGATAAAGTTCTTTGGCATGAGCTTTTCAAGGCTTAGAAAAAAAATCGATAAAATACACCCAAATGGTTGTCCAATTCTCACAGTACACTTTGAACAACTGGCTTACGATTAAATTTTGAAAGAAATTAAAGTCTTTTAAAAAGTGGGGTTTTAAAGCTCAACAGTTTTKAACTTATCCTTCTCTTCCGTTCCCGCAAACTTCATAGTGCCTTCTTTAAGAGCCCTTTTTACTGTTTTAAATGGCTATCAATTTCTTGAAACCACTGTTCTAAGTACTATCGCCATCCACTTTCCCTCTTGCTTTAGATATTATCAAGATTATTCATGATAGGGTTAGAAAACTACCACGAGAAGGGCCACTTATTTGCTTGCTTGWGCTAATGTCTTGAGATTTGTGTTGGTTTTTATGGCCGAAAAAAGCTAAAAGCTACCAATAGACCATCTCGCATTGAGCAAGCAATCAGCAATGAGCTGATGTGGTTAAGTGATCGGATTATTGATCTCTCGGAKGGCTTTGTGTCTGTGGAGCTCACGCAAAAGACGACATACTGTGTTGAACAGTTGCTATTTATTGAATTAATAAATGACTTCGAGTAGGGCCTGGCATTGACAAAATGAATCAGACAAGTCGATTTTTTGTGTATTGGAATGGCTGTAATTCATACTCAAACATGAATTGCCTTTAAAATCAAAAAGAATAAAATGTGAAATGGAAGTGCATGAAATACGAAAGGCTCAATTTACCTGAATATTTAACAGAAAAGCACAAACAATATATTTTTTATATAGAGTAAAAAAATTAAATAAAAATTGAAATAAGAAACTGAAATTATCAGAATGATAGAAATGTTTTCATTCATTAACTGTTTTTGCCAGTCATCGAAGTAGCTATTTTGCCTGAGCAGACTGAGTCAGTACTCCTGAAGTTCTATAATCCATAACCGTTCTAGTTGTTGTTGTTGCTGTTGTTTGTTGTTGTTTTTCAAAGTCACACTGTCACAGAACTAATTGAAGGCAATATTTTAAAATCTACTTTCTAGCTTCAGTGTTTTCTTAAGTTTAAGCATAAATCAAACTGAATGAAGGTCAAATTAAAATATCCCAAATTATTGAATTGAATAAATGAAACAATAAAAAAGAAAACAGCTTTTCAGTACATTTAAAATGTTTGTGATTAACATCTGCACTTTCAACCTAMACCAGTTCAGTCTTATTTTAAGTTAAAGTAAAGTTCTATTTAMTTTAGGATTTATCTCTCATTTGTACAAAACCAATACTCCATCTACACCATCGTTTAGGGAATTTTTTAAGCCAGTTCAAGTTGTACCTTTACATTCAATGAATGGCTCAAAATAATTTTGTCGCTGAAGAATTATTCATCTATTATCTTACAATGTTTCTGTTTTTTTGAAAAAAACTTATTTCACAAACTAAATTCAATCTTGATTTCAACTTTCTCATTCAAAGATATCATTCTCGAAGTGCATTATGGGTCATCTCGAGCCAAGCATCGACGCACGCGCACTGCATTCACGCATCAACAGCTACAGATCCTTGAAGGAACATTTGCCAAGACACACTATCCTGATGTTGTGATGAGAGAACAATTGGCTGCTTATATAAACATCCCAGAATCAAGAATACAGGTTCGTTTTATGGCAWCCGACAMTTTTAGAAGTATTTCYWCTCYGTTGAAAATATTTCATGCMATTTGTATTTAATTTTCCAATGTTGATTTTGGATTTTCCGTGCTTTGTCCCAATTGGCTATCATAGTTTATTGTCTAATGATTGTAAGAATAAACCTCAAACTGGACAGAATTTTAATTCAAAGAATTAACTATAATGTATAAAGTAAACCTTTGCAGTTTTATGATCCTCAATGTAGCAGGCAAGTGGAAGGCTGAAATGCAAGAAGTTTATGTGCAGAGAATACATCTAAATCACTAGAGAACTGAAAACCTATGTTATTATGGTCTTTCCATGTTACCAAAACGTGTATCAAATGTGCTTTAAAACATGCAGTGTTTTCTTTATTTATTACTAAAGGTATGGTTTAAAAACAGAAGAGCTAAATATCGCAAGCAAGTCAAAGAAGGCGAAGACCCGTCTGTAAACAAAGGATACGAGACATCTTTCATTCCTCTCGATCCCACATGGTTGAGCCGAGGATGCCTGCCTCCGTCTCCTTCATTTCTCAACAGTTTCCCGCCAAGCATCCYGCCATATTCACACTATCACGTTCCCTGGTCGATCTGCCCTTACACCGGTTCAACCACGTGTTCGTGCGACAATCCGTCCAATTCAAACACATCTTCTCATTGGCMGAGAGCRTCAGTCTCTTTGATGAACCAATCACAAGGGKCTTATTGTTCCCAGTCCTCTTTAAGTCATCCTCGACACTCGGAGATTGGGGAACAATCCACGAAGAAGGAATATGGAAGCGAAAAGCAAAGCTTTTGAATTTATCATAAATRSTTAACATAAAAACATTGCGTGATAGCAGTTTACATTCGGGCAGTCTGCTAYTTTTCACAGGGATAATATAGTAATAATATAGTATAGCACGTTAAAATGAACAAATCAACAATTTCTAAAATATTTGTAAATATGTGTGTGGAATAACTCCCCATAGCTAGAGCATATATTCATTCTGATAAGTGTGGTTTTTCTTTGGAATGGTTTTTGCTAAATATGCATGGTTAAGCAAAACTGTACCTTGCTTCGTCTAAATTGAGTCTCATTAAGGATTTGAAAGTACAATTCAATCTGGTCAACATAACTGATCACGCTTAGAATAAAATTCCAAATAATTTAAAGAAAGCCACAAATCGCCTTTAATGTACAGTATGTAACAACTAATTGCGGGAAGAGATGGTAGCTCTCCCMTCCCCTCCCCCTTGTGCAACCACGTGTCACCTACACAGCTGAATGTTTTAAATGTCTTATTCAGTGGCGCGTACCCCGTTTTGAAATCTCTCAGCAAAATCTTTAAGATTTAGCAGTTTAGGATAAGATGTGATGAGTGCCGTATCCTCCCTACGCGCGCGCAGATCTATCTTCAAAGGCAGGAGTTGTAAGTAGGGTGAATACTGCGTTAGCCTCCCGATAGTCCTTTGTATATTGAGTCTGATAACCATTAACCAGTATCTGACCCCCGCGTACAACTATTCCCAGGAGAATCGTATTATTGATTGAAATATCTAAGTTGTAGTTCTATCTAAGGGCTACAAGGCTCTCATCTTGAGCTTACAAAACTGAAAAGAGTGAAAAAGTAATCAATGGCAAAAAAAGTTACTCACGTTGGCTTGTCTTCTATACTTCATCAATATTATGATCAGGCCCAGGGTTTTCTTCCCATTGTCTTCATTCCTTTTCGGTCAATATCCTGCAGGAAACCCAAAAACCAAGAATCACAATGATGTAGTAGTATAGCCTMCTGATCCGCAGGCATCTCTCTTACTTTCCGCTCTTCTTTCAACTCTTGGGTTCCCTGTCTTCCTCAACATAAGTAATCGAGGACTCAGSCTAGGAGGATACCAGAAAACAAAGAAGGGCAAAATAAAGAGCCACCTGTGGAAGAGACTACTGTAGTAGTAGTACGGGGGAGGCAATACGGTAACATTGACCCTAACAAAGTCATCCAGTGTCATGACCATACTTCCGCTAACGCATGCGCAGTCATTATCAGATTGATTCAAGTGTTTACAGTGGGTGCCACACAACCTCACACGTTGTGTTCAAGTCCAGCTTGCTCCGTTTATGAATGACCCGTCTTGTCTTAATTAAGGTGAGTTTCTGAACTTTACTCTCCATGGTGTAAAAACTTCTCAGGGTGAAATAGCTAAGAGGCAGTATTAGCATACATGCAATAAACGCTTAGCCGTATTATAGTTTAAATCTGGTTAACGCATTTACTAAAGAAGTTGTACACAAATATATAGTCGGGAATAAAGAAGAGAGTGAAGAATAGAATTACGATCAAAATCAAGTATGGATTTTAGGGGGAAAGCAAGAACTATGTTGTTCATTATAAATAACGATTTGGAGATGTATTAATTTGATATTTCGATGTATGTTTAAAATGTACTACATCACTGTACACTCGAAGTCATGTCGAGTTCATGTTTCGGTTGGCATCGTGCCCATGGTGGTTTTGCAATGCATTTCTGCTGGCCACGCCTATGGCTTGTCCCTGTACTATACCATAGGGCGCTACCATATACTGAGAACTAACAAATAAGCGCTTGTACGTATACATAGTTGAGATGGATCGATAGTTCTGCTAGTTCAGTTGAGTCAAAGGTTGTATGTAGGTCTTCTAAAGGTTCTTTCGATATCCGCCGCTAAGTCGTGTAATAGGATTATCAGGGCCTAGTCTCGACGGGGCGTCGATAGGATCTCCTAATTAATTTTCCYTGGTTTGAGATAACGTTTGCTGATATCATTAAAAACAGATCCATTTTCTTTGACACTGATTGAATTCATCTTATCAACAAAGGAAGTTTTTGGTTTTCCTTGCAACGTGAGACAGGATGTTCCGGCATTCTTTCTCTGCGTTTGGTAAGAGTGACAGAGCGAAAATTGACAAAGCTAGAAAGGGGGGTCCCTTGATGGAAAATTCGAAATTTCTAATTTTCATGTCGATGTCAATTTTTCCAATCTCCACACCAAGAATAAGTAATGTAAACTCTATGCTTACTAAACGACATGCGCACTATAAGTGTTCATTTATAATGTCAAAGTCAAAATGTACTGAAAATTGGGAATACATTGGGGTAAAAAAACTGACCTCCTATTTATAGAGATGACCGGGATAATATTACGGGCCAAAAGTTGAATCGCTTTGGAACTCAAAAATACTAATCGTTGTCTTACGGAAACATTGGGGGGCTTTTAATAGACAATCCCAGTCCGAATAGTATAGGATATATGTTTAGCCGGCTTTTAGGCAGTTGTGAGACAGCATAGATTGAGCTTTTGTTAATTTTCATYGCTGAAATGAACTTTAMCAATATTACMATTTATWGTTTAACTMAGMGCCACTCCCTAAAATKTATTTTSCTCATCTTTTTTCTATTTCTGGATCTAATCTGGTGCTGTCAAAAGAAYGTTGTTTTATCAAGGTGTGGCCATGATGCATATTTTTACTACAAGTACTTATCATAAAAAAGAGTATTTGTAAGACCAGCATCTTAAATGATTGAAATCACACAGGAATCCCATASAGACCATTTAAGGAAGCTGCTTTCAGAGATTAAATCAGATACAAGCCTTTGACTATATTGATAAGTTGACCGTCATATTTTGTCCTCCGTACGGCGTATAACTGAATGGTACGTTAGTTTGTAACTTAGTTAACTTTGACCAATTACGTTTTTTCTCTTTTAAAACAGATTGCTTTATTACGCATCCTTGTGACCCAGGGTTAGTCTTCTGTCGCTCGCTACCAGTGGGTTCTCAAGATGTTTATTACGTATTTTGCAACGTATTTTTGTGGTAATATTTTTATCTTAAAAGATATTAGGAATTTACGTAGATAAAGCCAGTTACGTTTTTATGTGTTACATATGTATCATGGTTCTTTGTTGAAAAAATTTGTGTTTACGCAGCATATTTACGTAGTAAGATCAGTTACGATTTAATACATGCGTTGCGTATTCTTAATTTTGATCCTCTCTTTCTCTAATGAATAACGTTGTGTTTACGCAGCGCATTTACGTGGTAAGATCAGTTACGTTTTAAAGCGTTGCGTATTCTTATTTTGATSCTTTGTTTCTCTGATGAAAGAAACTTGTGTTTACGCAGCRTATTTACGTAGTATCAACGTAGTAAGCTCCACCCAGTCATTTAGTTTCTTTGGTTTGTTTACGCGTTTGGTCTCCAATTAAATAAACTGTCAGTTACGATTTAATCCACCGTGAATGAACGGATCTTACTAAACAAACGTACGGAAAGTCAATGGTTGTCGTTTGTGAAATGATTCCACACGGATATTAGCATCTGTACGTGAGGAACGCCGCTAGAATTAAATATCGGATAATCKTTTTATTGAGTTTTGATAAACATTRTTGGAAGTACTTAAGAACCGTTTACTGGGATAAAACTTAATTTGCGTTGTAACTGACGAAAATGAAATATTTTTTAGTAGTACTATAGTACTACTAGTACTACTAGTACACTATAATAGTACTATCCTATCTCATGTTGCGTAGGAACAATGCCTTGTCATTTAAATCGKTACCACTCCCTGTATTCGAAAAGAGWTTGTGGCCCTCTAGATTCGAATTTCACTTTTTGGATCAAAATGAAAAGGCTGCCTAGTGCAGTTCCTACATTAAAATAATTTTGATTAGCRTRATATAGTTTCMGTGGTACAAATCCAGCTAGTTGACTCACTCGGTGGCAAGGTGTTGGCCCGAGTAATAACTTGGTTGTCAAAGGCACAATAATAAATTCCCGATTATTCTCGGCTTTGAAAAGCTTTACTCAAAAAGGACCTGACTTGTAAAAATAGAAATCCAATAGCATTGATTTTTTTTGTTTAAAATATTTGTATATATAAACACATTTTAAATCAGTAATAACACAATTATACATTCCAAAGTTACCGTTTTCAAAGTAGGCGTGTTTAGTTTGTGTCRTATATACTTTAATTTAAAGTTATTCTGTCCTGTTCTAAACACAAAGACGGAACCTTCTAAATCTTAGAATAATTCTTGTAATCCACCGTTTCATATATTCCTGAAATACAAAACTATAAGTATTAAAAGACTAGTTTTGTTTTCAAACACCACCATGCAGATTTAATGCCGCTATTCAGGTATTAGAGAAACATTCTTTTATGAATAAATAAAAAAACGGATTTGTTTGCAATTCCACGTTGGTAACATCGAGGTGCAAAGCTCCTTTGGTCTAAATTTTTCCAAATCGCTTTAACACTTTCACACCCGATGTCCGGACAAATATTTGACTTAAACCATTGCTGGTAACTTTGTTGTTCAATCTCTTCTTTTCCAAGCCATTCATCAGTTCTCCGAATTGAACTCCTTGTTTTGAAATCAAAGCTTTATTTGGCTGTTTGCGGGATGAAAAARTTATYTTAAAATAGATGTATTTTGCGGTGCATGTTTTTTGACACCGTGTGAGAGATTCATTAAAAAAACAACACCTTTAAACGTGATGTTATGATAGGGTACTAACACCTCACAACCGAGGCTGTATGATATAGAGCGCATTTGGCATTGAGCAAGCACTGAGACTTTAGTTGGTTTATAGAGGGACCTCCGTGCAGCTGCAGCTGAATTTTTACTTGAAAACTTTGCTAAAGATCGTCCGTTCTTGTCTCTACAAGGTTTATTGGCAGGGGCAAACAACATTTCGTTAATACAGGTACGATAATAAATTGATCGTAAGGTAATTTATGAAGAGTGTCCTTGTACTCGTGACAATGTCATTAATGATCTTGGAGACCTCGGTCAATTCAGGGATTTATATGGGCTTCATGCCTTATATTAGTTATAAATAGAAATTTCCATCGAAAATGCTATTGACCAAACAAAATTGGCCGTCCCTTTGTGGCTTGATGAAATAGAGAATTTGTTTTGTTATGGTTTAGATAATTATCAGAAGTTTATAGTTAAACCAGTTGTAGGCAGCTGTTTTCGTATCTCATGGTATCGAGATTTTACGTGTTGTTTGTCCGTCAATATCCTGCAAATCATTACTTTAGTTCTTGAAAATCGTGAAGAGTGAATCTTGTCGAGGAGTTTAAGTGAGACTCTGGTCCATTTGTAATATTTCCCTAGTTGATAACTTAGGCATTTCAGCCATACAATTTATTTTGACTCAGTCTTTTTTTGAGCAAAAGAACACACACAMAAAARMWARCYRWCMRWMAWRAWTSAKKSASRRAMA